CTCAAAGGTGGTGAACTCTCCTTTATTGGAGGTTTTTAAGCAGAGGTTTGGTGACCACCTGCTAGAGATTCTTTAGCTGTGATTCCTGCATTGCAGGGGGTTGGAACAGGTTACTCTTGTGGTCCTTTCTAACTCTACAATTCTATGATTCTATGACTTGGTGTCTGGCATCAGGTCAGGTCAAGGCATGACAGGCAGGTGGCAAACCATAAATGGCCATGCTCCATTCACCTTGGGAGTGCAACAGTTTTACAAGGCAATGTGGATGAAGTTGCTGAATGATGAGCAACTTGTGTTCATTCCCCCCTCTCCTCATGATAAGTTGCTTGTTTTCTGGGCAAGGAGGGGGCCTTTGTTGGCTCCAGGGTTCCTGTAATATAGGCCAGGTGTTTCAGCACCATGGAGAGCTCTGAGAGAGCCACTTGGCTCCAGCAGAGCCTAGAGGACCAGAGCCTCTGTCTCCCATCTGTTGCTCCTAAGCTCCACCTACTTTGTGAGATTAGCAATCCTTAATGGACCAAACCTCTGGTCTACACATGGGCATTTCTTCTGTACTTCCTGGCCTTCCACCTGGCACGTATCCTGTGCCATGGAGTAGACTAAGAGACCAATGGATTCAAATGACAAGAAAGGAGATTCTAACTCAACATGAGGAAGAACTTCCTGACGGTAAGTGCTGTTTGATAGTGGAACAAGCTCCCTCAGAAAGCAATGGACTCTCTTTCAATTGAAGCTTTTAGATAAAGGTTCAATAACCATCTGTCAGGGATTATTTAGCTATGATTCCTCCGTTGCTCCTGAGCTGGAGGAGAGTTGCAGTCCCTTCCAACTCTACAATTCTGTGATTTTATGAACATGAAGAAGCTGCTGATTTGGAGTCAGGTGTTTCCATAGCTCTTTGGGCAGCTGACCTTCCTCCCAAAAAACACAGACACACATATACGCACTCCAAGCACTTAACTGGATGGAGGTGGTCATTGGAATCCCTGGTGTTACACTGCCAATGTGACTTTCTTCAAGAGTCTCTACCACCACCTCTGCCAACACCCTGTTAGTTTTAGAAACTTGATTTCTGCCACCAAAGAGCTGGGAAAACTGTGAGTCAGCTCAGACCTTTGAGCACGAAAAGCTGAACAAAACAGGCTGTCAGAATTTGAGCTACTTCATATGCAAGGCAAAGGAGGAAGCAGAGGAAATGGCTTTTGATATTATAATTTTTTCTGAATGTGGATAAGACAGGCTTGGAATGCACCATTCATGAGGCTGGATTCAGCAAAATCAGGGGATAAATAGTGCTACATTACAATGGACTTAAGATCCTTGACATGCAGTTAGCCTGCTCCTAGACAAAGTAGTTTAGAAAAATGGTAAAGATTTGACTCAGAAATATCACTATGGTGTAGAACTGGCTCTGCTCTCTTACACTATCGGTAATTCAACAAAATCTTTCTTTGTTGACTTCATCAGGCGAGTGATAAATGGATAGAAGAAGAGGGCAATATATTCCCCCCGCCACTTCCCAAGTGATGTTGCATAAATTAATATGTTTCTGCATAATAAACAAATGCAGAAGGCATGGAAGTCTGCCAGTCTTTCAGGTGCCACAAGGCTCTGTTGTTTAAACTCCATGTGGATTATCATTATTTTGAAAGTACCTAACAGTCTCCTGGGGACGCGGGTGGCGCTGTGGGTAAAAGCCTCAGCGCCTAGGGCTTGCCGATCGAAAGGTCGGCGGTTCGAATCCCCGCGGCGGGGTGCGCTCCCGTTGCTCAGTCCCAGCGCCTGCCAACCTAGCAGTTCGAAAGCACTCCCGGGTGCAAGTAGATAAATAGGGACCGCTTACTAGCGGGAAGGTAAACGGCGTTTCCGTGTGCGGCTCTGGCTCGCCAGAGCAGCGATGTCACACTGGCCACGTGACCCGGAAGTGTCTCCGGACAGCGCTGGCCCCCGGCCTCTTGAGTGAGATGGGCGCACAACCCTAGAGTCTGTCAAGACTGGCCCGTACGGGCAGGGGTACCTTTACCTTTTAACAGTCTCCTAAGAGGTCATTAGTGATTTTAATTTAAAAAGTGATTAAAGTGCAATGCCTACCTAAGTCCTCTGTTGTGAGTGTACAAGCAGCGTGTACTCTGGACTACCCCGCCCCCCCAAAAAAATCCTTATCTTTGTTGTTGTTGCCAAGATCCTGGGAATTTTCTGAAAAGCCTATATGGTGAACCCAAATATTTTGCAGGTTAGGAGCAAATCAGTACAGATTGTCTTATCTTTCCTCATTTATCCTGGAGTCTTGGCAAGGCAAGACTGAAGCCGCCATCAATCTCTTCCACCTCCTCTCGCTTTGGACCTTCGGGTTTCAAGCTTAGCTCTTCCCCCATATGGACTAGAACCTTGCTGAGTTCTATACTGATCATACTGACTTTGAGGGTTTCACAAAGCAGTTGCAGCACTTGAAGGCACAGTCATTGTGTGGGTTTGCGCATGGACTTCCTTGAATGGAGGCTGCTCTTCCTTTCGGCAATTCTTTTTACCATGGTGTGTGTGTGTGTTGGAATCATGAGTCACTCCCCAAAGTCTTGGAAACTGCTGGCTCGATGTGTGAGAGCCTCTGTCCTGAGACTCTCACATGACGCCAAGAACCCTTTTTGTGCAGGATGAACTTTCTTCCCATTCAGCCCCTAAAAGAGCCATTCATCTCTGGGTGCTCCAAGGGACTGAGTCTCCTGCTGTTTCTGCCATACTGAGCAGCCTTCCAGGGGACCCGGTGCAAAAGTCACATCCAGCTGCAGCTGCAATCTTGCCTTTCCCAGCTTATGGCAGGCGCAGAAGCTTCAGAGTTGTTTACAGGAAATACAGCGGGGCGAGGAAGGGCCCCCTCTCCCCAACCCCCCTCCCTCCCCTTTCTCCCTGCTCTGACAAATTCACATGGGTTGCTTATGGATGACTTCCGCTCTTTAGAATGGAAATCTGGGAGAGAGCTTGGCTGGGTGACCAAGTGCATGGCTGTGTATGTGTAGATGAGAACACACATAATAAAAAGAGGGAATGAACTGCAGGCTCCTTGCTATCAGCTTTGTAGGTCAAGTGGGTGCATTGGCCAGCATTCTGAATGTATATATTTAGAATATATACGAGGGTGGCGCTGTGGTGTAAACCACTGAGCCTTGGGCTTGCCGATCGGAAGGTTGGCGGTTCAAATCCCCGTGACGGGGTGAGCTCCCGTTGTTTGGTCCCAGCTTCTGCCAACCTAGCAGTTCGAAAGCACGTCAAAGTGCAAGTAGATAAATGGGTACCGCTGTGGCGGGAAGGTAAACGGCGTTTCTGTGCGCTGCTCTGGTTTCGCCAGAAGCAGCTTAGTCATGCTGGCCACATGAACAGAAAAACTGCCTGCGGACAAACGGACAAACGTCGGCTCCCTCGGCCAGTAAAGCGAGATGAGAACTGCAACCCCAGAGTCGTTTGCGACTGGACTTATAATTGTGAATTCCACTCCCCACCCCATACCCACTGCCTTGAGGTACATCTTTGTGAGAAGAAAAGTCTATGGAGTAAACCCTTCACAAACCTGGAACGGAGTCCCTAAGATGGTTAGATGGCATCTTGTACGCCTCCTCCCAGCAACGCCTACAGCCAAGTTGGTACCAAACGTATTGCTCTGCTTTCCTTTGGACCACATCAGCGAGGCTGAGAGGGAGATCTTGTTGTCTGGGTAGCCCAAGACCTCCATACATACTGCCCAGGCTTGCACTCCATTGTTTCTCAAGACAGACTGATGCCAGTAACAGTTATACCCCACCCCAATCTCATTGACACCTGAACAGATCTTGCTTCCCCATTAGTCACAGCTTTGGATCCAGCAAAGAGCAAGCATGTCTCTGCGTCTCCTGCTTCCAGCTCACTCACTCACATCACCTTGGCTATTATTCTCCTACTGGTAGTTATATAAGGGTTGTGGTGGCGGAAGAAATGCCCTCCCATTAGCCTGGATGGTACTATCCCCTAGTTTTAGCTCTTGCAACCTAGCTCATTATTTTGGGGTGCTGAAGAGGACTCTTAAGGAGCCAGTTAAGATCTTACATTGTCTTACAAAGAGTAAACTCCATCCCTCCATGCATCTGGTGGGATTGTTGTTCTTGGCAGACATGCAGGCTTGCTCTCTGGTGGGCGGCCGAGCTGTGAGTTTCAGCAGGATGTGAAGTCTGGTTTATTCTCCCCAAAGGCCGGCATCTGGCTGACACTAGATTCCCATAGACCAGAGGTTTGGGAACCTCAGGCTCTGGGGGCCAAATGCAGCACTTCAGGACTCCCTATCCGGCCCAGGCTTCCCAGGCCATGCCCCTCACAGGCCCTGTGCTGTACACTCCTTGGGGGCATTTGGCCTGACTAGGGAGTGTCCTTGAACTCTGACACAATCCCCCTTCCTTGCCTGGATGAAGGCTGCAGAGATCTGTGCAGGGCTGAAACACAAGAGTCCCACCTGTTGCTCTACCTCCTTTTTGCCTCCAACCACACCTACTACAGTGGTACCTCGGGTTACATACGCTTCAGGTTACATACGCTTCAAGTTACAGACTCTGCTAACCCAGAAATAGTGCTTCAGGATAAGAACAGAAATCGTGCTCCAGCGGCACGGTGGCAGCAGGAGGCCCCATTAGCTAAAGTGGTGCTTCAGGTTAAGAACAGTTTCAGGTTAAGAACGGACCTCCGGAACAAATTAAGTACTTAACCCGAGGTACCACTGTATTGACTCTGGCATGCGGCCCCCAGGAAGGGTCCCCATGAAGGAATGTGTCCCTTGGCTCCACACCCCTGAGACAGGCTGTGGTCTAACCTTTATGGTATTATTTAGGGTGTCTAGGTGCCAAAAAGGGGGGGTATACTTCTATATCTTGTTGGGTCTCCCTTTCTGTTTTAAGTGTGGGAGCCTGAGGCACCCCTCATAAAAGGTGACATTGCTACAACCCCCCCCCCAAAAAAACCCCTCTATGTTTTCCCCTTTGCAGATGTCATGGCGGCCGCAGTATCGCAGCTCCAAGTTTCGAAACGTCTATGGCAAAGTGGCCAACCGAGAGCACTGCTTTGACGGGATCCCAATCACCAAGAATGTCCATGACAACCACTTCTGTGCGGTGAATACGAAGTTCCTTGCCATAGTAACGGAAAGTGCCGGAGGGGGCTCCTTTCTTGTCATTCCACTGGAACAAGTAAGCGACTCTTTGTTTGATTATGATCCGCAGCGTCACATGCCACCACAATCTCCGAGCGCTGAGAGACTCTCAGGTTTCCAAAAGCTTACCACGCTTCTGTTTCCTTGGAAGGAAGGTCAGAGGAGATTGTGGGGTCTTCAGGACAGATGATTTCATTTACACATATATACAACCTTAGCATCAGATGGAGGGGCTCACGGAATTAACACCTCAACAGATCTTGCTTCTCCTTGAGTTGCAGCTTTGGATCCAGCACTGAACAAGCAGGTCTCTGTGTCTCCAGCTTCCAGCCTACTTCCAGTTTAGCTCTCTCACACCTCAGTGGTTAGTGTTCTCCTAGTTTGTAGCTAGGTGAGGGAGTGGAAGAAAGGCACATCCGCTTGCCCTTTGGCACACAGCAGCCTCTTTGTTTATGCTAATCTGTTTAACCAGTCAGCCACAATCTTTGCCAAACAAAAGGACTGGTTTGCCAACTTTGCTTCCATATTTTCTACCCCCCACAAGTATAGGATCCCATGAATTGGAAGGGACTTAGGGCATCATCCAGACCAGACATAGGCAAACTCTGGCCCTCCAGATGTTTGGGACTACAATTCCCATCATCCCTAGCTAACAGGACCAGTGGTCAGGGATGATGGGAATTGTAGTCCCAAACATCTGGAGGGCTGGAGTTTGCCTATGCCTGATCCAGACTGATCCCCCCATGCATATCATCACCATCATCATTATTATTGCTCAACAAGCTTATGTTAACCCCAGTTTATTGTCCTTCCAACATGGGGGAGGGACTTTCTTTGTTTTGCCTTCTGTTCTCCAGCTGCTGCCAATGGCAACTCAAGTGGAGAATATTTCTGCATGGGAAAAAGTGAAACCAGCATCTTGAAAACGTAAAACATTGGGGTGGGGGAGGGGGAATGTTTCACCCCCACATTTTCCTGCAAATGATTGCATGTGTTGACTTTGCCCTGTGGGATTTCCCTAAGATGCTTGTGTGGATTTTAAAAATTAAACATGAAAGTCTGGGTTATAAAATTTTAAACACTGAGTAATTTTAAACCGACTTCCTGGAAATGGGCCTCAGGGAGGATGCAGGGGCACCTGTCAGTCATGTTTATTTATGGTCCAAGGCTCTCAGGCAATGCTATAATAATTGCTATAGGGTTCAGGGTGTGGCTGCAGCTTAGATGGATGGAAATGGGCTTGATTCCCTTTCTGTGTAAAGGTGTTGGAGAGAGATTGATGCTGTGAACCAGCACTGCATTCACCCACAATCAATAGCTTGTGTATGTGTGTGAGAGAGACACATGGGGGGGGCAGGGGGAAGAAAGAGAGAGAGATCCCTAACCCTAGAGCTGATAATCCCATCAGACTCTACTGGCCGGTCTGAATCTACAAACAGCCAAATATAGCCCTGGTGGGGATGTTCTTTATCTCATTTCAGCTGTGCACCTTTCCAGGTGCCCTGTTTATCAAACATTCATCCTGACCTGTTTGCAAAACATTTCCAGGGAAATTTGATGATGTCAGCTATTCATTGAGCATATAGCCTCATTTGTTTGAAGAGGTTACACAATGTTACATTGGCAGTGCATTTCCCCATCACTTCCCCTATCACAAAAAATCCAGTGTTAGAGAGAGAGAGAGAGAGAGAGAGAGAGAGAGGGAGGGAGGGAGGGAGGGAGGGAGGGAGGGAGGGAGAAAGAGGGAGAATGGCTTTGTTGCCCCAGAGTGCCATATCAGCTTTACGACCTAAATTTGCTGGAGACCAGGGTTCAAATCATCACTTGGCCATGAAACTCACTGAGTGACCTTGGGGGTTGTTGTGGGGATTCAAGAAAAAGGGGAAAGAAAACCCTGTGCTCCACCTTTAGCTCATTGGAGAAAAAGGTGAGTTTTCAATGCAATAAATAAGAAAGAAAGAAAGAAAGAAAGAAAGAAAGAAAGAAAGAAAGAAAGAAAGCCTTCTGTTGCACAGTGGGGTTTTGCCAGTGCAACTGCTGTTGTGCAACATTAAAGCTCACCCTTCCACTTGTGTTAGCAGACAGAGAATGCTGGATTAAGTTCATGTTCTGGAAGCACCCGACATCTTTGCCACGGCATTAACAATCAGTTATCCACCTGGTTTTCCATTGTGTGTGGCCAACAGCCATCACAATATAATACACAAAAACAATACACTCCAAGAGTTGGGGTCCTCCAGATGGCCTTTCTCTTCGGATTTCATCCTGTTTTACATGCACAAAGTTTAGGTGGCAGTTAGATCATATCCAGCCTTCAGAGAGTATTTGTTCCGATTTGTTTGCAGGGAGGTTATATGGCAACAAACATTTGTCCTGCATTCATTCTGATTTGCTTGCAGGTGTTTATGCCTTGTCACTGGCCATTCGTCCAACCTGCATTTTTCAAAGCATTTCCCATAAAAATCTTGTGTGTGGATTTAAACACCTTACTCCACTTTAAACCTGGAAACCAGAAGTTCCAATATGTGACTGAATCACTCCCACAGAACACAGAGTCTGGAGGTGACCTATGTTAAACATGTCACATTTCAGAAATGCAAATGGTCAAAACATGGACTTGTAGAGCTTTCCTCCCAATTTGTTTAGGGCTTAGAACAATCCTCCTGGCAGTCAACATGGATTTGCATAAAAAGCAGTCCATAACTTTCTCACTGCTGGTGTATGTGAAGATACCCTACAGGCAGCAAACCAATCTACATTCATAGAGTCATAGAATTGTAGAGCTGGAAGGAACACAAAGGGTCAGCCGGTTCAAACCCCTGCACTGCAGAAAGTAGCCAGCAGCCATCTAATTTTGAAATCAGCTGAATGTCCACCTAAATAATTCTGGGATGAACGCATTACTTTAAATCAGCCATCCTAACTAGGGCCTGATGAGAGTTCTACTCCAGGGGTAGGCAACCTAAGGCTTGGGGGCCGGATCTGGCCCAATCGCCTTCTAAATCTGGCCCACGGACGGTCCGGGAATCAGTGTCTTTTTACATGAGTAGAATGTGTGCTTTTATTTAAAATGCATCTCTGGGTTATTTGTGGGGCCTGCCTGGTGTTTTTACATGAGTAGAATGAGTAGAATGTGTGCTTTTATTTAAAATGCATCTCTGGGTTATTTGTGGGCCATAGGAATTGGTTCATTTCCCCCCTTAAAATATAGTCCGGCCCACTACATGGTCTGAGGGATGGTGGACCAGCCCATGGCTGAAAAAGGTTGCTGACCTCTGTTCTAGTCCACTGCATCTGGAGGGCACCAGGCTGAGGAAGGCTGGTGTCCTCTGTCCCTGCAGCCCCTGCCAGCATGAACTTTTAATTCCACCTGAGACACATTTGAAATTGGATTGTGCTAGCCCACCACTGTCCATAAAATCATACTGATGGGCTGCCAGACTCTGCCCCTAACCCCACCCACCCATGTACAGGGTGTGGCCTTATGTGCATCTGTGAAATAGTGGAGGGAACAAGGTATTTGAATTCACTTGGAGAAGGGCCATAGTTCTGTGCAAAGTCCCAGGTTCAATCTTTGGTACTTCTAGGTAGGGCTAGGGATGCCTTGTGCCTTGAACCCCAAACAGCCATTGCCCGTCTGTAGACAGTACTGAGCTATTTGGAGCAACGGGTCTGACTTGGTATATATAATGCAGCTTCCTAGGTTTCAAGTTGCTGGAGCTAGATAAAATCAGGGGCGCACCTTGCTGCATTTGCATAATTAACAGGTGGGTTGGGAGAACAAAGAAGGATTGGATTAGTTTCTTTGCAATCAGCTGGAGTCTTTTGAAATGAACAGACCCCTAATTAATATGCTTCTATATTTAGCAGAAATAAATTGAGGTAGCCTAGAAACTACCGAGAGCAGCCGCTTCAGCTCAGGAGTCTAAAGTCCTTGCTGTGATATTCTGGCGAGCTTTTATTAAAATGTCTTTCTTCCCCCTCATCCAGTACATTGCCTTCTCTCGGGGGACATATGTTCCCCTCCTGGCAGATCAGAAATCTTAGCTACTTATGATAAAAACCTGCTTCCCTGTTCTTACTGGAAGCCAGAAAAACTCCCACTCAGCAGACTGCAAGGCAGCTATGGGGGGGGGAGCCCCACATGAGAAGTTTGGGGGAGAAGATGCAAGCTTACAGTTCCTTAACCTAGACACGGCCAGGATCAAGAGCGAGAAGAAGGGAGATTGGGAATCTACTGCAGTAGGTTGCTGAGCATTTCAGTTTTCGGGCAGGATCCACTTTCATAGCAGGAAATTCAGGTTGCAGAATGTTAGGCGATTGGGAGGCTAAACGTTAGAATGTAAGAGAAGCCTGCTGGGTCAGGTCAAAGGGAGCCCAATTAGTCCAACATCCTGTTCTCACAGTGGCAGGATCTGAGCACAGCTCTGTTTAGGGAAGTTTTTAAAACTAATGTTTTAATGTATTTTTAACCTTCTGTTGGAAGCCGCCCAGAGTGGCTGGGGAAACCCAGCCGGATGGGCAGGGTAGAAATAATAAATTGTTGTTGTTGTTGGTTGTTGTTGTTGTAATATCCCCTCCTAAGGTTTCCAGCAACTGGTATTCAGAAGCATTCAGGAAGCAGAGCATAGCCATCGTGGCCAATAGCCACTGAGAGTCTTTTCCATGAATCTGTGCAATCCTCTTTCAGAGCCATCCAAGTTGCTAGCCACCACGGCTTCCTGCGGAAGTGAGTTCCATAGTTTAACCCTGCAGAGATTTCCTGCAACAAACCTGACTCCCCCTCCCTCCAATTGGCTTTTGGGAAAGTGATGCAAAACGGTGCAGCGAAGTGTTGAATGGCACTTGCTTTGATGCAACCTCATCTAACCTGCCCCGCAAGCAGACCAGAATGAATGCTGATGAAATAGTCAGTGTCATCTCATCTCCCTGCAAAGAAAGCAGTGTGTGCATCCCCATTTACCAGCATCCATTGTGCTCCCACCACTGGTTTGGGAAGTGATTTAGCATTACATTAGCTGCAATCTATATCTACCT